AAGGGAGGAAGGAGGGAGGGAGGGAAGGAAGGGAGGAAGGAGGGAGGAGGGAGGATTTATTGATCACTCAGTCCTGAGCTAAGAAGCCCTTCAGTTATCACGCCATGTGACCCTCCCAACTCTGAGAAGTCCGCACTATTCCTGTTTCTGTCGTTCAGCCCTGCCTGCCTGTCATATCTGACCCCATCTGGGGTTTTCTCGGCAGATCCTGGAGCGGTTTGCCATTTCCTTCTCCAGCTCATTTGATGGATGAGGAAACAGAGGCAAACAGGGTGAAGTGACTTGCCCGGGGTCACACAGCTGGGAAGTCTGAGGTGGGATTTGAACTCAGGAAGAGGAGTCTTGCTCGTGGCCGCTCAGCTGGGGCAGAGGACTTTGTTTGGGAAGGGCTGGTAAGAGGGAGCTCTCTAATCACTACCATTCACTCAGACGGGTTTGGTCCCGGCCAAAGAGCCAGATGGGGAGAAGTCAGCCCACGCTTGACGGCAGAAGATCATTTGTGACCCTGGCCCCCCAACTCCACACCACTCATGCTCCAGTCGTCTCTACCACTCACCGTGCCTACAGACGTCACCTGATGAAGACCCCCCTCCCCCGCTGCCCCGCAGCCCTCCGGCCTGCCCAAGCCCCCCCTGCTTCCTGGCTGTCGGCCGCTGCGGATCTCCAGGGGGCCCCGAGAGGGGCGCCCTTTAGGGAGTCCACGTGTGACCTGTTAGCGATCCTCGCCACAGAATCCAACCAGAAAGAACAGTGAGCTAAGCACGTTCCACTCCCCTTTAACACAGTCCAAGCCCGATTATCAGATCCCAGGCAGCAGCTGAGCAGGAAGTCAAAGCTTCTGAAGCCAGGAAAACCAGTCATCTGGCAAGAGAGGGCCAGAGGGAGGCCGGGCCTCCTCCGGGCTCTTTGGCCCCGGGCCTCGCTCTGAAGGGGCCCCATACATTCGCATCGTTCAAGGAAGATTCAGAAAGGAAAGAAACGCCATCCTGAGATGAGAGGCGCCCTGGTCAAGCCCCGCCATGCCAAACCCATGCCAAGCCCATGCCAGGCCACCTCCGGCCTCCCCTGCATCCCTCCGAGGGCGGACCTGAGCGTCTGCCGTTGGCCTGCCCGGAGGGTCGGTCCTCAGGGCCCCTTTCACCTCGGCAGGGCCGCGGGCGGGCACTAGCAATCCTGGCTGAGCAAGGGTCAGAGCCAGCCGCCGGGTAATTGCGTCCTCCACCCTTCCCCGGAGGAGCCCTTCCTCGCTGGCTGGGGGGGCCGGCCTGCTCCCCCAACACCCACCAGCTTCAAAAGCCGGAGACGGCCCCAAGGAACAGGCCTCGGGGCCCCCCGGAGCCGGCGGGCCAAAGAGGCGGACGCCGTCTGTGACGGGAGCTCCAACACACAGGCCACTCCTGCTGGAAGGATGCGGCGTGGGTTACTCAGGAGGAGGGCGATGCCCCTCGGGGCAGCTTCCAAAAATAAACCAGCAGCCTCGCTTCCCCCCAGCGCCGCTCGCGCTCACGGGGGGACAGGAGGGGGCTTTCTCCCAAGCGGGAGACGCGAAGGGAGGCGGGGGCGGCGGGGCGACGGAGGAGCGCTCCGCAAAAGCGCTGCGGGGAGCATAGCGGACACCTGCGACCCTCCCCGGCCGGCCGGGGGGAGGGGGCGGGGCACCGCTCCAGGGGTGCCCCCGTCCCAGCGGCGCCGCTCGACGGTTCCCGGGGCGGGGGAGGGGCTCCCCTCTCTTCCCTGGGGCCGGGGGGCGTCGCGCGGCCGACCCTTAGCCAGCGCCCGGGCGGACGGCGCGGCGCGGAGGGTCCCCCGACGGGGCGGCCCGGCACTCACCAGGCACGTAGATCTCGCCTCGCTCCTCGTCCGGGAGCTCGCTCCAGTTGCGCTTTCCCGTGGAGATGCACGGCTTCTTCACGAGGAAAGCCCGGGGCATGGTCGCTGCCGTCCGAGGCCCGCGCCGGGGCCAAGAAGAAGGGGGTCGCGGGGCGCGCGCGCGAGGGCGAGGGGAGGCCGAGCCGGCCCGGGCGCCCGAGTTCGCCGGCCGGAGCGCGACGAGCGGCCGCAGCAGCCAGACCCCGCGCCGGTGCCCGTGCCGTGCCCGGCCGTGCCGTGCCGCGCCGCCCGCAGGAGGAGGGTCAAGGGCAGGGGAGCGGTGGCGGCGGCTGAGCGGCTCCCTGGGCTCTGGCGGAGCCGGCGGCGCGGCCCGGGAAGTCTTAGGGCGCGCTCTGACCCGGCCGGCCCGACGGGTTCCCACTTTATTGGCTTGCTGCAGCGCTCCGGGGCGTGTGTGTGAGTGTGTGTGTGTGTGTGTGTGTGTGTGTGTGTGTGCGTGCGCTTGGGGTGGGGAGGGGAGGGAGGGGCCGGGGCCGGGGTGCTCTCATCTAATTAACCCGGCCAGGCGTGGGGCGAGGACGGCGCATGCGTTGAGAAATAACGGTGACAAGTCACCTAGTGGAGTTACCCGCCGAACCGGTTCCCCCGGCGCTGCGGGGGGCGGGCCGGGTCACCGCGGGGCGGGCAGGGGGCGGCCGAGTTGCCCAACGCGGGTTTCGGAAGGAAGGAGCCCGGGGCGGCCGGGGAGCAACGGGCCGGGCGCTGCGTGGCCGGCTGGCACGTCGGGGTGGGGGCGGGGAGCGCGGGGGGCGCGGCCCTCGGCGGCCTGGAGCCGACGGGGCGGCGGGGAGCGGGGCAGAGGGCTTCGCGCCCCGCCCTGCCCTGGCCCAGACGCCGGGGCGCAGCCCACACTCGTTAAGCCGAGCCCCTCTCTGGCGCCGTCGGTCCGTGGAGCTCCAAGCGCTCAGAGGGGGCGAGGACGGGCGGGGCCGGCGGAGGAGACACCCACGGGTCCCTGGCCCCTGGCCCCTGGGCGGCGGGCGGAGGATGAAGGAGCCTTCCCGTCTGGCCTCCCAAAGGAGAGGGTTCGGCTGGACGGCCTTGGACGTTTTCTGCCCCAAGGGCCCTCCCGGCTCTGGCATTCCGTGCCTCGTGTTCCGGTTCATTTTCCTAGAGCCCCGAACCTCTAGCGTTCCCTTCTTTCGAGCTCCTTTGCGCCGTGGCTGCCCCCCAAACCCGCGCGGAGCCCCGGGCCTCCCCCCACCCCACCCCCGTAGCCAACCCTGACTGTCCCGGCCCCTTCCTCCTTCCATTGATTTCTTATGTGACTAGACAAGTCTCTGCCCCCTCGGAGCCTCGGTTTTCTGTCTTTAAACGGTGCGCGGATGATGCCAACAAAGGTGTCGATGTTCAGGTCTCCATCTCCCTGCCCCGAAGGGAACATCTTGAAAGCAGAGACCTTTGTCTTAGACGGTTCTGCATGTGGGGCCACGGAGTGAGTGACTGAGGGAGAGGAGGAGAACTGGGCCCGGGGCTCTCCAGTCACCCCGTGGGACACTCGGACCTAGAGCCCACAGGGACATTAGCCATCATCTTGTCCAACCTTCTCATCTTCCAGATGAGCAAACTGAGGCCCGGAGAGGCTAGGGGTTAGGGACAGACTGTCGCCTCTCCAGCCTTGGCCCTGGGTTCAAACCCTCACTCAGCCGCTCATTGCTGATGAGTTGGGTGACCCCGGGGAAGCCTGGGTTTCTTCATCTGTAAAACCGGGCCAGCAAAACCGGTGCCACCTCCACACAGGGCAGGAAAGTCAACGGCTCTTTATCTGGAAAGTGCTCATTATTATTTGCATATTAGGAGAAGGCTAGGAGAGCAGTGGCTAACCCAAAGGACCTCGTGACTCACTGTGGAATTTAGGGCACCAGCAGGAGGGCATCCATCTTTGGGGGTGGGGGAGATCTTCAGGGCCCTTCAGCCCTCACACCACCTGGGCCTAGGCTGCCTTCTGAGCTCACCTCAGTCTTGCCTCCCACACAGGGGTGTGTGCCCAGGCGCATACACTGCCCTCAGGTAGAAGGGCTGACCCATCTCTCTGACCAGGCCTCTTGCTAGATTTCTCCTAACCATCACCAGCCGTAGTGGGGTCAAGGTAGCATCAGGCCAGAGGAATGATAATAGGCAACACTGACTTAGGGTTTTGAGGTTTGCAAAATGTGTGAGAGACCCTCACAACACCCCTGGAAAGTAGATGCTATTATCCCCATTCTACAGATGAGGAAACAGAGGTTACCTAGCTAGTAGGCATCTGAGGCAGGATTCAAACTCAGATCTTCAAGAAACCCAGCCCAGCCTTCAGCCCAGCCTTCAGTCCAGCTAACTGCTCCCAAGCCAAACTGACTTGGGCAAAGTTCTGGGACCCTTCTCACTTCTGCCCCCCATCTCTGTCTCTGTCTCTGTCTGTCTCTGTCTCTCTCTGTCTCTGTCTCTCTCTGTCTCTGTCTGTCTCTGTCTCTGTCTCTCCCTCTCCCTAAATCATAACTGCATTTTGTGTCTTGCATTGCACCATCTTCTCATTTGATTGTCTTAACAATGAAAAAGCACCAAATTGGGAATCAGAGGACCCCAGTTAAAATCCTGGCTCAGCTACTTAACACCAGCACCTTGTTAAGTATTAACTAGGTGCCAGGCTCTGGGCTGAGCACCAGGGATACACACTGAACACAGACACAGTCCATGCTCTCCAGGAGTTCCTGTGGTATACCACGGGAGGAGAAAACACAACAGAGTTCTGTGGCAGGGTGGAAGGCAACATCCAGAGATCTAGAGAGGGCAGCAGCAGGGCAGAGGGTAGGGCCTGGTCATGCCCCATCTTAGCAAAAGCATCTTATGTATTGGCTACCTGCTCATTGGAGGGGTGTGAGCAGCCACATGTGCCCTGCAGAGAGTGGACCCCAGGCCCACAGCCATTGGGAAGACTTCATAGGCAGAAGTTGGACTGGGGCCCCAGGAGGAAGGGGTCATCTCCGGTCATCTCTGCCCTCCAGTGGCTCCCTGGCAGGCTCTGGGTAAGGGTGGACTTGGGAACTCACCAGCCTTCATCTGTCTAATGAGGTGGCTGGACTAAATCACCTCTTCCATCCCGAAGTCTGTAAACAACCCTGTGGGGCTAGATAGTGCAGGTAGTATTTTGTTTCACAGATGAGCAAACTGAGGCTAGAGAGTCAGAGGAGTAGACCAGGATCAGACAGATCCAGTGTTCTCTCCCCCTCTCTCAAATTATAACCATGCCTTGCCTCCTTAAAAACAAGGATTTTCTCTTGTCCCTGAATCCCCAGCCCAGCACCATGCCTTGAACATACTCAGTGATTCCAAGTACTGTCTGAATTGAATTGGAAGTAGCCACGTGGTGCCCCTTCCATCAATAAGTCCCTGAGGATTCAGTCCAAAGAGCACCAATGAATTACCTAGCAGGGACTGTGCCAAGGCTGGAGATAAAAAGCCCCGAATGCAAGTCCCTGCCTTGAAGGAGCAGAGAGAAGTGTGTTATGTACATGGATAAGGGAACGCAAAGCAAGTGTATTGGAGGCATGTGGGGAGGGGGGAGGTAACGTGGTCAGCATCTTCTGTGTCTTCAGACTGGAAAAATCAGGAGCATAATTTTTTTTTCTTTTTTTGGAGGCAGTCAAGGTTAAGTGACTTGCTCAGGGTCACACAGCTAGTAAGGTTGAACCCTGGTCCTTCTGATTCCAGGGCAAGTGCTTTATCTACTGTGCCACCTAGCTGCCTCAAGGAGCATAATTCTTGCCCTCAAGAAACTTCCAGTCTAAGATAAACATGTGGTCAGAGTCTGGAGCTTTTCTCCAATGCACACGGGTGCTGGAGGCTGGCCCTGCACAGTGTGGCTGCTACATTTCCCTCATTGGCTTATTAGGGCTATCAGCTGCAGGATTTCTTCTCTTTTTTTCCTTTTTTTCAGTTATCGAGCATTTTTTTTCTTTCCCTCCCGTTTAAAAAAAGAAAAAACCAAAACCTTTGTAAGAAAATATGTATAGTCAAGCAAAATAAATTCCTCCATTAGCCGGGTCCAAAAATGTACACCTTTCAATCTGCATCTTGAATCTGGGGTAGCACACTTTGCTATAATTTTTGAACAGGGCTAGTGTTTGGAGTTTGGCTTTTTTCTGCATATTTATCATGAAGGTCTTATTTTTTTTTAATTGTTCAGCAGTGTTGGGCATATGGGAGGCAGAGATAATAAATGCTTGTAAAAAAGAAATACATTTTAAAGAAAAAAGAAAACCACCTATTTTTATCATATAACCATTTATCATTGGTGAATGACTCTTATTCTTTTTTTTAAATTTTTTAAATTTTTTTATTTTTAGTTTTCAACATTTACTTCCACAAGATTTTGAGTTCCAAATTTTTACCCATCTCGCCCCTCCCCCCACCCCAAGATGGCATGCCTTCTGAATACCCCTTCCCCTAGTCTGCTTTCCCTGCTATCTCTCCCCCCCTTCCCCTTCTATTTTCCTGTAGGGCAGGATAGATTTCTGTACCCCATTTCCTGTGTTTCTTATTTCCCAGTTGCATGTGAAAACATTTTTTTAAAACATGTGTTTTTTAAACTTTGGGTTCCAAATTTTCTCCCTTCCTCCCTCCCCACCCTCCATCATTGAAAAGGCAAGCAACTCAATATAGGCTATACATGTGCAGTTATGCAAAACGCTTCCGTAGTAGACTTGCTGTGAAAAACTAACTCTATTTCCCTTAATCCTCTCCCACCCCCCCATTTATTCTATTCTTTCTTTTGACCCTGTCCCTCCTCAGAAGCATTTGCTTCTGATTACCCCCTTTCCCAATCTGCCTGCCTCTCTATCATCCCCCTACTCTTTTGTCCCCTTCCCCTCCTGTTTTCCTGTAGGGTAAGACAGATTTCCATACACAATTGACTGTGTATGTTATACCCTCTTTAAGTCAAATCCTATGAGAATAAGATTCATTCATTTCCTCTCACCTTCCCCCAGTTCCCCTCCACTGTAAGAGCCTGTTCTTTTCTGTTTTTTTGTGAGATAATTTACCCCATTCTACCTTTCCCTTTCTCTTTCTCCTAGTATAAACCTCTCTCACCCCTTA